AGGGAAAGAATTCTTTTAAACTATTAATTTCAGAATCTAAGTATATGCTTACCACTCCAGGCAAACAGCTTTCAACTTCTGGATTTGGACCATCACTGTAGTGATTGCCATGGTTGCCCGGAGAACCAGTTGAAGAGTCAGAAGAACTATCTGGACTTGAGGGCATATTAGAATTTATCTGTGTAAGCTTAGCCGTAATTAGCTGAAAAACACAATCATAGTTTTAATACTATGTAAAAATGAAGATTCTTGACTAGATAAGCATCTAATATAATGTTAATGGCATAATACAAGGAGGAGGAACAAAACTATTTCACAAGAATAAGTGATCTCATGCATGGTATTTTTCAAGCACTTACAAAAGGGAAGCAACATCTGAATTGACATAAATAATCAACCTGCAACTTACCGTTTTGTCTTTGAGATTCAACTGCCCAATTAATTTTCTGTCATCAGCAGGGTCCACCAGCTCACCACCAATGAACAGTTCTACTTTTGTGTGCGCGCTATTGGCTTTAATACGATTGAGAATACAACGCCGTACTTGGCCAATTGTGTCATTTGTATGAGACCAAATATCCAAATCTTCTACCTGGCGGCCTTGGTTTGGAAAACGAACTACCAGTGTGATATGTTTACCACGGAAAGCTCTGAAAATAAGCAAGCCAGACAAAAGTTATTTTTGCCCTCATTAAATAAATTATTTTTCCTGCTGTATTTTGTTTTGCAGATATTTCAATATCAAATTTTTCCCGCCTGGTGGTATACTCCAGCATGAGATTATTTTGTGAAGGCACCAGCAATTACTCAAACATAACATACACAGAAACTTTCAAGAAGCCACACTCCGCACAAGTGCATTAAGCGTATGGTCAACCTTACAGTCAGGTTAGGAGCACTAACAGAATTTTTAAAAGTCTCTTATGAGGTTTTAGATCCTTTCTCTTGCTTGTAATTTCCTGATCAAAATGCGCAAATAAAGTGCAGACTGGCAATGATGTTTTGCTCTTTTAGCAAAACAACTCAGTTTTAAATACACCAAGATCAGAAAAAGCCACCAGGTTGCCAAGCCTTAATGCTTTCTGTCAAAAGCTGTTAAAAGTTTTATATTAGAATTCCAATTTTAAAAGTCAAAATGCTTTTAAAAAATTCAAAGAGGTCAAAAAAAGAAGAAACATTTTCACACCAGCAGTGATCACACTTCACAAAATGGCAGGGAACTCATTTGGAAATACGTGCCCAGATAAGCCCAACAAACTATTCCCATGCAACAAAAGGAGGCAAAAATTCCTCATAAAAGCTCCTTGCTAATAAGACCTGTGCAAAAGTCAGTCTAATCAAATAAGCAGCCCATATAAAAAAGATGCACCTGCAATCAACAAGAGAACTTACTTAGGACTAATCAATCAATACGTAGAATAAAAATGCTGTAGGACCACCGCAAATTACTGACATGCCATTAAGAAACAGCAATCTCTTCAATTCTCTTGACAAAAAGGGCATTTAAAAATAAGGGGACAACAAACTTCCACCATGTCTAAAAATATGTTAGCTGCATCATAAATCCATAGCATCCCAATGTCGTCCTTCAGTATTTTTGAGACTTTCTTCCCACAGACAGCACCTAACAACACCGGAACATTTAAACAGTTTTTTCTTCTGCCTTCCTCTCTCAGAAAATAAAGTATTTTGTTTGTGAAAATATCTACACAACATAGGATTTAAGTCCTTCCTTTTTCTTTGTACCAAAGACAGATTTAAAGAAGGAGCGGCTAGGACTTAAGCTAAGTTTTTACTCAAGGAGAAGTGTATACCTGAGAAGAGTGAAGGTATACAGAAAATAAATACACTTCAAAGTGCTGTTCTCTTCTTCCCCTTTTTATGAGGCCCTTATGCAGAATATTTTACTTAGAGATAATCCTAAACTTAAGCTTGCCAAGTAAGATTAGCATCTCTGTAAACAACTCTGAAACATGAAGAAATACATTAACAACATGTTTTTTGTATGACAGGACTATGAAAAACAAAGAAGGTTTGCCCACACTAACTTAAAGAATGGTATTGCTTTTAAATAATTATCTGAAAAAAAGAAATACATCCCAAATAATCTAGCCATAAAGTACATTATTCTAGTTATAGAACAAAACACCAGAAACAAGTTTATTCTCAGGTCTGCTGTCCCTTCCATATATGCCTGTATTTGCCTGATCTTTCAAATTTTTTTTTTAACTACAGATCAGAGTTTAGATGTATTAGCAGAGAAAATGGAATTTTGAAACTCTATAAATACATTCCCTGAATAGAAACCCTTTAGAATGTAAAAATCACAAAGATATTAGCAATATTTTAGTTAACAGAAATCAGAATCACAGTAGTGCATTTTCACACATACCTTGACATAGGTAGAATTGTTCTCTCTTCGTGGTAATCACTGTCACATTCATTTATGTACTCTCTTAAAACAGTCAACACTCTCACCATTCGTATTGCTTCTTGTCTTGCGCAGTTGATACTGTCTTTATCTCCATCCAACACACATAATGTATCATAGGAGGCTTTTAGACGATCAAAACAGGACTGAATAAAGTCTTCATGAATCACTACCTAATGACATTAAAAAATTGGTGCAATTACAAGAAATATTA